ATCAGTCTGATCATTGGCTATGATCTATGAGATGTTTCTGTTAAGCACTCTTTAGTTCAACACCTTGAGCAACTATGCCTCACTATAGGCTGCTGTAAAACTAGCTATATATAGCAACTACAGTACATAACTATATATAACATGGTGGCTGGATTTTGAGGCCAAGCTCACGTATTAATGACTTGTTTGTTTCCTCCATATCCCTCCTGATCTTCACAGTGAGGCAGGCGCTGTTGATCTAAATTGGAACTAGATGATTCTTGTGTTTGATGCACAGAGAAAATCTATTGCAGCTGTGTCACGCTGTGTCTCAGGAACAACACCGCTGAAGATGCAATCTTATTAAAGGGATGGAGCGATGCACTTTTGTCATCAATTCTGATATTCCACCATTTCTTCTTAATTTCAGCTCTTTTGGCTGGCAGTGTTCACCGCAGTGACAAGCCATGTGACACATTTTCTCTTAGGCATCATACCAGCAGTATGACCAGTTCACAATGTAGCCTGTGTGGCCTCAAACTCAACATCAAGTGCCTCTTCTCCACATTGTAAAACTGAATGAATGAGCTTTGAGTTATAGAGTGGTTTTCATTTATTAATTTAATTTAATTTAATTTACCTCGTGTGGTTAATAAGATTGTTTTACACGCCATTTTAAGCACTTTGTGACTAATAAAACCAAACTGTTGGATCAGTTAAACGTCATGCCCAGTCAATCCGCCCTGTTTAAATAAAATAGCATTTGTTGCCATGTATACTGCCATGTATATTGACATACATTTTATTTGTGATGTGGATCCACTGGTTTCAGCCTTTATTCGGAACAAAGTGATTAAGTTAAAACTTAAGATTGCATGAACACATTTGTCTGTCATGTTACATGTTACACTTTAATATGTGTTTTTATATATGCATGTATATCCTCATCCCAGTGTGTGTGTGTGTGTGTGTGTGGCGTGCACGTACTGTAGCTGTGTTTTGAATGGGTTTTGTACCTGTTCATCCTGCGCACCAGCCCCTCTATCTCCGCTGAACACCTTGAGGTCATATCAGCCCTGTGCTGGGCAGGTTGGCTGCTTCCCATTTAGATTATGGATGGTTATTACTGCCTCCTGGCTGTCAGTCAGATTAAACCAATATGTCCCAGGATGGAGGCTTATCGTGCAACAGAGAGGACGTTCTCCTGTGAAGGAGGAGGGACCATTTAAATAAGTCATCTCCACAACCTTGCGTGTTTTACAAATTTATTAGTGCAGTCTCGAGATGTAACCACGTGTCAGTTGTTTGTTGTACATAATGAAATATCGAATATGCTTTATAATGTTCTTGTCTGTCTGTCAAGAACATTACATGTTGTTAAAATAGATTATCTATCTATCTCTCTATCTTAATAACATTAGGACTATAACCACGAAATGACATTGTCTTACACTTGTGCCACCTGGTGTTATTATAAGAAAAACCCAAGAAAACATGAACACATGCCTATAATAGGTTTTATTTTTATTTTGTTTAATTCTTATTTTACCAGTTGAGTTCCATTAAAAGACAAGATCTCTTTTTTAAGGGGGCCCTGGCCAAGTTAGCAGCAATACGGTTTTCCAAACAACATACAGCAAAAATAAAACAAACACAAAAAATAAAAGTGAAATATGACCTCCCCACATAAACCTGAAAAACAGAAAGTAGAAGACATATCTGAGGAAGGAAGTAATTAAAGTATTATCACACTCCCATATAACCCATTAATGGATTCCAAAAATTCATTTGTAGCTTGTTGGTAAGCTCAAACTTGTGATACTTAATAATGGAGAAGATTAACTTATGTTGTTTGATGTTATGCGTCGTCACAGCTCAAATGGTAGAATGGGGTTTGGTTTTCACCACTTTTTAATGATGGACATTGAACTGAACTGGCTGCTTGATGTTGGTGTATATGTCATCCCATTCTTTTTTTTCTTTTTTTTTGAGACACAGTGTGACGCAAGCACACATGAGTGGTAAATCATGATTGTTTCAACATTCATTAAATATCTGTTTATAGTCCTACTGCTGAACCAAATACACTGGTTTGGCTTTGATGACAGCTTTTATTGTGGAGGGAAATTTTAAGATCTGGTGGATTTGCAGGATTTTATGAACAGAACATTTCAATTCTCAAAGAAAGAACAAGGGCACACATGATCTAAATCACATTGCCACGATCTGATGAAAATAATTTGCACTTTTTTCATTGCTGAGTGCGATACCTTTTTTTTTGTTGTTTTTATTTCATGTGGCTTCCTAAAACAATATTAGCAGCATTTCCACCAGAATATTTGTACATATTTGTACAAAACCAGTCTGTGAAGCCATTTATTGATTCACTGAAGAGTATCCTTATCCTGCATCCTTTCTCCAATCATGGTTGTTAATAAATACAGGACATCTAAACAGAATAATGAGATAAAAAAAAACATGAAACTGGGAGCTGTCAAATGAAAACCGAGCACTTTAGAGCCCCGCTTTGAAACTAAACATTGGCTCCAACACAACTTTTAAAAAAATCTTCATACCTCAGTAACAAAGTAGGTCACTTGGCAGTATCTAAACCATATGACTTTTCAAAAAACTATGCATGCCTGCTCTGTGATTAAGTTTGGATATGATTAGCTAATGAACCTATTTGGTTATGATTGGGAAACCATCACGGTTACAAGAAACCACTGTTGACTGTCGGTACCAGATGGGCCATGAACTATGTACACGTGTCACAGTCACACACCTCGTTAACCCAACCATCCATCCCGACTTCCTCCTTAAGAGATTTTGCTGTAACAGTGTCACATTATCTCTGCTTTTGCCACTTAGAGAGGACAGTAAATACTGTTTGAACAAACGACCGCTGCTGTTTTTTAATGAGGACGATCTCTAACACCGCTGATTTGTCCGCTACCTGTCACATTAAACCAGTTTTGCAACTACCTGGGCATTAATTCAGTACTAGTGACTGGATCAGTAGTTACGAGTTTAGTTTTTCACTGTTTCAGTGAAGCCAAACACATTTATCTTGTCACAGGCAGTGATAAATAATCAGTGATGTTTATTTCCATGGGAATTAAGCCACATGATGCAACTGGCAGTGGGTGTTTCAACTCATCTTGGGAACATCAACAAGTGACACATGAAGACATAATTTTTCCCAGCTTAGTGTATTGTACAAATAACACTGTACTTTATTCACTCTTTATGATTCACCATTCCAACACTTGGATAAGCAAAACAAAAAAAAAAACAACTTCCTTTTATGTATCTCCATCTTCTCAGCATGTGTATTTATGTGTGGGTGTGAATAGCTGTCAGGACTCAGAGGCATATGATGGTTTTTCTCTCTCTCTCTCTCTCTCTCTTTCTTTGCGAGTGTGCAATTGTGTACAGTATAAGACAGTGTGTGTCTGTGGCCTTGCATGTGTGTGTCTCGACCCCTATGGTACAAGAGGAGAGAGGGAATGGCAGAAAGAAAACCGCACTAAGTGAAGCGTGGAATGTGCTTGGTTTTGGGATTACATTAGCCCAGTGCATGGGAAAACACAAAGGAGAGCTTCTGCTGCCAAACAGATGAGAGGTTAGGAAAGTGCTTTGGCTTTGGCTCCTTGTGACTTCAATTAAAGCTTTCTCTCACATTTAAAGCAGTGTCAGAGGCTGAATTTCGCTCTTTAATTCCATCTGTTTGTCACAACGGTGTCTGAGTGAATCATTCTCTCCTTCAGTTTGCAGCTGCTGAGAAAAAAGATTTGTGTCTGCTCTTGAAATCATATGTTCTGTGGGTGTGTTAAGTTTGTCAGCTCAGCTTGTCTTGCTAGACATTTAGTAGATACACTGAATACAATCTACCCCTTTACCCCCAGCAACAAGGTACCACATTAAATTAGATTGGCAATATAAAAGTTTTTGAAACCCTCTGAGAGGACTTTTTATTTTCACATCCAAAAACACCACAGGGAGTGCAGGCTGACAGAGCAATGATGTTTGGTTTGGGAAGAGGAGAAAAATCTACTCGTGTTTCTCTGTGTTGCTACTGGAAATGAGACTTGATTAGTCTTTTAAGATGGATTTGGATGCATTTGCAGCTGCATGAAATGCCTCATGATCTATGTGGCCTTAACCCTCTCTGTATGCTAATACCTAATTAGTATTCAGTGCTGTGGATGAAAACATGTACATGACACTGAATCATACTTTAATTAAGCGAGCATGCTCTATGGTAGGCAGTATCATTAGCTATTGAGAAGTAACACATATCTTTATCTTTATCTTTACATATATATTTATCCATCTATCCATCCATCCACCCAGCCTTCGACCTGTTCCAACGGAATCGGTTCATGCTGTAACGTATTTCATCCCCAACAATAATGCCAAGTTTATTTGTCAACCCATGCATTTGATGCCCTTGGTCTTCTGCCTCTGCAACTGTGTCCAGCTTTCAGGCACATTTTTTGAAACCAATTTTACAAGTGATGATGGGGATAGAGGGCTGTGGTAATGAAGGTAGACAGGCCAAATCTCAGCTACGGAGCTGGAGTGGGGCTCGGGAGCCAGGGATGCAGCATGTGAGGATGTATGCCACAGGGGCTAATCCTACACTGGTCCAGAATGATGAGCACATATTAGTCAAAGGCCACCGACCAGGACATAGCATAGTAGCGATGTATGAATGGGGGATGGGCCCCGACACTGTGCCAGGTTACTTTTCATGGCAGCAATGTGGCGTATTTCTGCTGGCAGGATGTAGTACCCTACAGGTAGCAGGTGTGTCTGGCCTTACATACTTCTCCATTGGATTACATGTCAAATGTTATTGCACATATGGTAGTGTACAGTGCAGTTAATAATAAAGTCTAATCAGCAGTGTTACATGCAGCTGTAGCACTGAATACTGTGACATTGTTGTGATAAAGCTAATGTAATTTTTTCTCTCTTCCCCTCCTCCTTCTTTCTCCTGATCTGTGTCTCAACAGCAGCAGATGGTGAGGAACCAACTTCAGCAGGTGGGAAATTTTTATGCTTGGTAACATGATTTCCCTTCATTTGTGTATGTATGTGTGTGTGTGTGAGAGAGAGAGAGAGATGGAGAGAGGGAGGGAGAGAGCTCCTTCAATTTCTGAATCTTCACCAAGCCCCTTCCTTTCTTTATTACTACTGACTCTAACTCCTGCATCGACTCACTGATCATGCCTGGTCAGCAGCACTTATGATTATATCATTTGGTAGTTCAGTTCATAACGCAGCCCTATTTAAACCTCCTCTAATAGTGTGACTCAAGAGAAATATCCGGTCTTTGTCTGGTACAGAGTTTCGAGATTGTTTTCAGAGCTGCATAGTCCCATTCAGTCCAATAATTGCTTTTGCTTGATTGCTTTTCATCATGCAATTTCCTGCATACCTGAGTATTTAGCATCATTTTTAGGGCTGTTTTTGTAAATTAGCTCTTAGTGTGAGTGTTGACTTTAGAAATCCATTAGCTTAAGAGTAGCATTAACCTAGAGCAATTTCTATACCTCAAAACCTTACTGTATATTATCCAGAGTACAATGCATTGTATCCTTAAATGTGCGCCATTAATATCAATCTAAATGTACAGTGCATCCGGTCCCTGAAGGGAGCATTGAGTGTGTTTTGAGCTGCTCTTAGTGTTTGCATATGATAGGTAGTAAATTAAAGAACTGTGAACTATCATACAAAAACTCCCTTTTAAAATCATAGTATTAGAGACCATATTTGGTATTCACAAGTTCTGCTTCTCATTATTGAGAAAACTAATGTAATGAGAGTTTTATTACGAAAGCAAGACCACAGAGGACAACAGTAAACAAGAACCTGATTTATCTTCATCAGTGATGTAATTAAAATGTCACTTCATATCCTGGGGAAGTACTGCAACTGAATACAAACTTCCTAGCTCTAAAAGCATCCTCAGCATCTATTTGTTTTTGTCTATGCTTCTTTCATTAATATTAATCTCTGCTGGATTATTTGAGATCAAATGGGTTAAAACAAGAATGATTAATTTCAATAAGACGTAATACCCCAGCAATCAAAGCAGTTTGTTGTTGTGATGCTAAACGCAGTGTAATCTCTGTCTCTAATCCGTTAGACAAAAAATAGAAACACATGTAGCTATACACATATGCATGGGCACATACACACATATAGTGCTGTTAGAAAGTATTGTTATGTTGCAGCCTTATGCTAAAATCATGCAAATTAGCTTTTTCCCTCTACAATACACTATACATTTTTCTACACTCAATAACCCATAATGACAAAGCAAAAAACATTATATATTTTTGTAGCAAACTAATTAAAAAGAAAAAACTGATATACCCCACTGGCATGACATTTGAACTTAAGATCAGGTTTCGCCAATTTCTCTTGATCATCATCACTCCTTGATTGGAGGCAATCTGTGGTAAAACCACTTGACTGGACATGATATGGAGAGGCATACACACCTGTCTATGTAATGACTCACACCTTACAATGGCTATCAGAGCAAAGACCAAGTCATGAGGTCAAAGGAACTGCCCACAGATATCTGAGACAGGATTGTGTCGAGACACAGATCTGGTAGGGGGGGGGGCTTGTTAACAAAGGTGACCAAGAACCCAATGGTCACTCTGGCTGAGCTCCAGAGATCCAGTGGAGATGGGAGAAATATCCAGGACAACAAATTCAAAGCATCGTGTCTGGTTTCCTCCAGACATGATGCTTAGAATTCAGGTCAAATAGTTAAATCTTGGTTTCATCAGACCAGAGAATCTTGTTTCTCTCAGTTTGAAAGACCTTTACGTTCTTTTTTTGCACACTTTCACTGAGGAGAGGCTTCTGTCTGACCACTCTTGACATAAATCCCAGACTGGGGGAGTGCTGCAGTGATGGTCCTCCAGATCATGTCCATTTACCACAGGTGGACTCCAATCAAGGTGTAGAGACATCTCAGAGATGAGCAAGAGGAATGGGAGGCACTTGAGCTGAAGTTCAAGTGTCACAGCTAAGGGTCTGAATACTTAAGTCAATGTCATTTTTCAGTCTTTCTTTTTAATTAATATCATTATTAAAATTGCCTAAAACTCTGTTTTTGCCCTGTCATTATAGGATCTTGAGTCGAAATTGACGAGGGAAAAAATGAATTTGATGTGAATTTATCTGAATAGACATTTGCGACAAAGACTTTTTCAATTAAACTGAAAGTGAACACTGAAAAGTTTTATTTTAGCAAAATAATTAACAATTGAAAATTCGAAATTAAATGTCACCATTCAAATGTCAACTCTCCCTCCAATTTTCAAACTAAAAAGGCACAATTTATATTTGATTTGATTTGATTGACTGATGGAATAAATGTCACACAACAGACAGATTATAGAGCAGATTCTCTCAAGGCAACATATGGATATGAAGTTCAATGATTAAAATTAATATGTATTTAATACACTACATCATCCCTACTGTCTTAATTTTTTCTAAAATAATGATACTGCCAGCTGTTAACATGCGAATGATCGACAGTTATTTGTAAGTCACAATTCGGGTTTTTCTCTTATATAGACTGTACATATTTCAGATAACAGAGAGAAAAGGGAGCAAGAAATAATTATCGGATCTGAAAATGACCTGAATTAGGTGTGACTTGTGACCACTGACCTGGAACTGGACTTAGAGAGAAAATAGGACAGGGTGATGTGGAAAGCCAAATTACTCATGACAGGTTTGAAGAATTTAGCATATCGGCTGCTATTTCACAGTCTCTATATCTTTAATATCCATATTCACACCCTTTGTCTGGGCTCATATAAAGGCAGACTATTCTTCAGCTGTGCTTCTTCTGTGTGCATCTCTGTGTCTATGCCCCATGCTGATTTGATGTAATTTGAGTATAGTCTGTGAACATTTGCCAACCATCTGCACGGCATCTAAAGCTACTATTAAAATTGAAACTTTGAGGTCTAGAGAGAATATATGCTTAGTGTGCTAACCTTGAGAGAATATTGGATTTCATTTTGTCCACTGCCTCAGTGGAATATTAAAATTGGCTACATTTTATCTACATGAGGTGGGATTTGTTCTTTACATCTAAGAAAGTCTTTTCATATTGTAAGACACTGAAAATTCTTGAGTATAATAAAACTGCAAAGGACATAGACATGACTTACTGTACATTTTTGCTACAAATAACCAGATGGTGTGAGCTGAGTATGACTCTTTTTTTTGTGTTCCATAGTGTGGTGTGAGTCAGTCAGTATGTTAATGTGGCATATTACATCATTACCCCCTTTGATTTTGTTACATTAATTATTAAATTTAATCTTGAATGTGTGTAATGAACTTTTTTTTTTCATAATGGTGTTTGATCAGTCACAAAGTCATCTGCATAGTAAAAGTATATTTAAATCCTCCACTTGTTATAAATAAGAAGTGATTTTAATGGGCAGTGGTCTTTCATTATGTGCAAAGAGACTCTGATACTGACATTTCCACATCAAGAAAAATGTTCCTCTTCAACAACCGCTCCTCTCAGATTGTCACTTGCTCAAAACTCTTCAGAGGCTTTTCAGTGCCAGTAGATGAGCTCATCATTTGCACAGACAGTGTCTGAAGTGGAATATTCATTTCTATGTATTGACTATCCAAGTCTAAAAAGTATAGATAAAGAGACAGAGAGTGCTACGATAGTTATGCTGTCATATACTTGCATAACCGTCTGAGAAAAGAGAACTGTTTCTTCTAACACCCATTGTCCATTTTACAGATTTTTATAAGCTCGGTATGTTGATTTTTTGTTATCGTGTATTCCAGTGCAGTTCATGCTTCATGCACATATCACACATGCTAACTTGTTTGTAGACTGAGTTTCTATCATCAAGCCGCATTCTAAGTTTACACTGAATGAAAGAGTGAATAAACATCTCCACCATTTAATTTGCACCTGCCTGTAGTTGCATAAAATTGAGGGTTACTTTGTTGTTTGCTTTCTTTGTCGCTGCAAAATGTGTTTCTCATACTGAAGAGTCTTACTTTTTTATCAAATGTTTGGCCTAACATCAGCCTGTCAGATCCACACTGCTCCTGGTATTGATAAAGCAAAAGTATTCAGGGTGCAGTTCTTTCAGGGAGGTGCTCTGGCTTCCACTCACCAACCACAAATTAAAGCACTGCAGAGGCTGCACATATTCACAAATATATATGTTTCATTACAAAAGGTCAGGGATGAGGTAATCGGAAAATATACACTTTCTGAAATGAATTTCAACCAGGTGCCTCAACTAACACTGTGAATGTAAAAGCTCCATTGCCGTGGAGCACTCAAAATACTTCAGATGCCCATCGGAGGAAAATAAGGTTAAGTGGTAAACTGACAGTCTCCAAGCAGAGCACAGAGAAATAGTTCTCTATTGAACTGGTTAGAGACAGCCTCTGTCCGCTTATCTGAAATCTTAATGTTTTACAGCTGATTTCTTCTTTCAATTTGGCATTGCTCACAACCATTACAATCAGGAGAATGCCTTTTTTTAGGCAAGACCTTTAGCAGGCAGGGACACTGCTTTGACATTTTCATGGCATTTAGACTCTGACAAGACAACCTCCATTTCTGCCGTTCTCTGGATCTTCCTGGAATGATGCTGATCTTTAGTGTGACCTCTCCTTTCAGATATTTATTTGACATATTCCAAACCACTTTGTTTCTGCGTGATTCTTACTACTTTGAACTCTAAGTGCATTTGTCTGACATTGTCCAATGCTGATGGGCTGAAATGGCAAAGTGGGAAGGGCACAGGAGGATAGGAGTCCAAGGACTTATTGAAAGCAGGAACCTACGGCAGCGCACGCTGAGAGCACTGATGTAATACTGGTGGTTCAGTGCCAGCTTTCATCAGTCGAGGTGAAGGATGGGTGCAGTGACCATGAGCTTGTGAACCAGTGAAGCCATCACGGAAAAAGAGGCTGGGTTAAAATAGATTTGACACAATTAGGCCATGTCAGATTTCTC